TGCACCTCACCTGGGCAGCACAGCAGTGCTGACCCTGCTGGCAGGGGGGGGAGGTGAGCCTGCCCTGAGGTCATGAGGTCTGGAGAACTGGTGGTGGCCATGTGGTAGCAAGGCCATGTCCTTCCCCTCTTTGCCCCTTGCCACCTGCAGCAGGCAAGAGAGCTGACCCTGCCCCTCGCCAGCTGCAGCACTCTAGAGAGCAGGTCCTATATCTTACCTGGGCAGCACAATAGAGCCGACCCCATTGACGGGGACATGGGTGAGCCGGCTCTAAGAATGAGCATGAAAGAATGGGCCCTGCCCCTCATCTGGAGTGAAGAAGGGAGAGAAGCTCCCCTCAAGCCTTTCACTGATTGTGGCAGGTGGGAGAGCTATCCCTGAGGTCATGAGAACCAGAGAGCTGGCTCTGCTCCTCACCAGCTGCAGCACTCAGCCAAATGGCTCTTGCACCTCTCTTGGGCAACACAGTAGAGCTGGCCCTGGTGGTGTAGGTGGGGGTGAGCCAGCCCTGGGGGCATGAGAGCAGGAGAACCAGCCCCACCTCTTGCTCCTTATTGCCTAGGGTGAGCTAGCCAGGACGGTGCTGGAGAGCTCACCCTGGTGGTGAGGATGAGGGAGAGATGGTGGGCTGACCAACCCTACAACCACCCAGACCAAGAACCAGGGCTATGAGATGACCCATCCCAACATCCACCCCATCTGTGATCTGCTGGAGCACATGAAGGGGCCAGTCCTGTAGACCCAAAGTTGCAGAATCCCTATGACACAAGACAACAACAGGATATCCAAGAGGAATCCCAGTGAGGGCTCAGTATCTATAGTGTAGTAGAAACCAGAGGCCTTGAACCAGGCTAATAACTCATTGCAATGAACACTTGCAAGTAAAGATGCATGAACTAAAGGGTATACTGGGTGACTCACTGTGTCACACTACAGCTTCCATGACAAGATTTTTCTTTTCTTTTAAATTTTATTTTTTTTTTATCTTGGTGTGTTGAGGGAGGGGGTTGCAAAGGCAGAGGACAGATGCAAAGGGTTGGGGAGATGAGGAGGACTGGGATACATGATGTGAAATCTACAAAGAATCAATAAAAAGTTAAATAAAAAGAAAAACCCACTTCTTTGGGGTTCCAACATAGACTGGAGTTAAGCCGCTCTCGTGAATTCTCAAGGACTCCAGCACCATATTGGGACTGCTGAGACACTCAGCCTCATGGACTGAATAACTACTGGATTCTGAGAGGCAGCTATTGTTGGACTACATGGACTACATACTATAAGTCCATCTAATAAATTACCCTTATATGTTAAAAAAAAAAATGAGGATTGGCTTTTACAGTGCCAGGAGGTTCTGAGTAGGCTCATAGTGGAGAAAAGTCATCAGTGGTCTTACTCAACTGTGTATCCTACATGATCTAATGCCAACCTGGCAGGCATGATTTATCCACTGGAACAATGATGGCATGGCTACTGTGGGGGTATACAATTGCTCCAATTTGCTTTTTGATTGGATTTGAGGCCTGCTTCACAGAAGGAAAATGTGAGCCTGGCACTGTAAACCTGGTCAAGAACCCATGGCTATGGAGACCATAAGCCTTAAGGGGAACTCTACCACTGATACATTGTCAAACTGCCTTCTAAATATGTAGTTATAACTTATTGTAATAGTCAGAGTTCTCTAGAGAAATAGAACTTACAGATTGAAATAAATACACATATATGTATGTACATATTTAAGGGGATTTGTTAAAATGCCTTATGGCTGTGGTCCAGCTAATCCAACAGTGGCTACCTGTGAACAGAAGGTCTAAGAATCCAGGAGTTGTTCAGTCCACAAGGCTGGATATCTCAGCTGGTCTTCAGTATACATCAGAGTCCTGAAAAAGTAGGCTCTAATGCCAGTGAAGGAATGGACTTGCTAGTAAAAGCAAGCAGGCTAAGAGAGCAAGCTTCCTTCTCCTATGTCCTTTCTATAGGCGGCCGGAAGATACTGTGGTCTAGATTAAAGGAGGATCTGTGGGGGGGGGGCGTTGGGGGGAAGGTGAGGGGGACGGGAGGGGGGAGAACAAGGGAATCCGTGACCAATATGTAGAACTGAATTGTATTGCAAAATAAATTAAAATAAATTAAAAAAAAAAAATATCAACTTAAAAAAAAAAAAAAAAAAAAAAAAAAAAAAAAAAAAAAAGGAGGATCTTCCCACCTCAAAAGATCTGTATTAGGGGCTTATCTTTCCACTGCAAAGATCTGCATTAGAAGTGGGTCTTCCCATTTCAAATGACTTAATTGAGGGGAAAAAAACCCTCCCAGATGTGCTCAGTCACTTGGGTTTAGTTACTTCCAGATGTAGTCAGGTTGACAACCAAGAATAGCACCACAAGTCCACCCCTTGTTCATTTGACACACAATCACATTTCCTTATGTCATGCTTAATTTACAAGTAAGAGCAATAACTAGGTCAAAATTATATCTAACATGATATAATGTAATCACAAATGCATTATATATTTAACCAGGGCACTCATGGTCCAAGAAGCTTTTTTCTTCAGTGAGTTGCAGGGAATGCAGAGACTCACGATCGGTCATAAGATGAAATATGTGGCTGTTGAGAGTTCAGCCCCAAATGAGATATTTTTCTCACCCCCTCCCACCCCCAGCAGAGGCTCAGGGAACTTTGCCAAATAGGAGGTGGAAAGAATGAATGTAAGTGCTGGAGAAAGAGAGAAAATGCAGTGAAACACAAGATCTCCTGGCTTGGCTGTCACACTCATGATCTCACGGCATCCGTGATTCCCTGTACACAGCTGTACCTGTCAATGATCCATCATGGGTGGGGAAGGGGCCGTGCAACCCAGCTCTTCCCCCGAAGAGCTATCCACAGTGAATGGTTGGTGGGAGGAGTAGGAGACATATTCTTCAGTGGTGTGGCCACTGTTAAGTGGCCCCTGCAACTAATCCCACCCCTGCACATACAAGCAAACTTAATTAGATGTCGTATCTCATGGGACAGACATGGAAGTCAGAGGGGGACACATTAAAAAGAGAAAAAGGGGTTGGTGAGAGTGGACAGAGATAAAGAGAAAATGAGTATCATGAAAGTACTTTATATATGTATGAAGTTGTGAAAGAATTAAAATACTAAGATTAGGTACCTATCCCAGCAGGCCTTGCACTGAGGCCTTTGAATGGCTGTGAGTAGGGTTGGGCAGGGATCAAGTGAAGCTCTGAACTTCTGGGGGCGGTTTAGTCAGAACTTGGACTGGGTAGATCATGGCAGATTGCCTTCACCTTCTCAATAGGTTACAGGAAGAAAAACAATACATCTCACTTCCCAGCTGTGCAAACTAGTGCTCTGGTAAAACCATCATTGAAAAGCAAATCAGAAGGATATGCAACAGTTATCTTAAACTGGCGTCAGAAAGTCATAAAAGGGTAGTGGTCAGAACTTTCATCTAAGACAGAAATTATAAGTGTTGAAAATATTAAAGTTTTAAAACAGCAATTAAGTGAATTATGGGAAGAGGAAAACAATCTTACAGCAGTTCCAGTACATGCTGGTAATATAATGAAAGACACAGATGTTTATTTATTACAGTTGTATCGACAGATGTCATCTTCTATAGGATATTTGGTTATTCAAACATCGCTGCCCAACATCCTTCTCATCTATGAACTGTGAGAGCCTGTGAAAGGGACAAACAGACCTCAAACGGCAGGATCTCCATGACACAGGACAACAGGATATCCAAGAGGAGGCCCAGAGAGAGCCCATTATCGATAGCGTAGCAGAAGTCAGAGGCCTTAAACCAGACCAATGACCCATAGCAGTGAACACTTACAAATAAAAATTGATCGGCTAAAGGATAAACTATGTGATTCTATATGCCACACTATAGCTTCCACGATGAAATTCTTCTCCTTTTTATCTTTCTTTCTTTTGTTCGGTTTTTTGTTTTGTTTTGTGGGGGGAGGTTGCATGGGCAGAGGGCAGAAGCGAGGGGATGGGGAGATAAGTGGGGTTCAGGATGCATGTGAAATCCACAGAAAAATCAATAAAAGTTGGGAAAAAAATAGCTGGCTTATATATTTCCAAAAGTAGGTGTCTCCTGAGAACTGTGAACTATGGAAGAAATCAAACCATAGTTTTTTCCTTCTTAAGAGCCACATAATAAAATTGCTAATGAAATGAGGGAGCATATTTGAGCTCAGAGAGGTGAAAGCGCACTACGAAGACCATTTGCCTTTGCTGTATGTAGGCTTTATATGGTCAGTTGGTGGCATTGTTTAGGAATTCCTGTGCAAGAACATAATCTATAATATGCAAAAATGAGACAGTACTTACTACTAGGAATCACAAGGACCAATTATCATTCACTTTTATTGTGTTTTATACAGAAACACTTAAATGTGTGTGGCTAATTTCTTCTGTTGGAAAAACTGAACGTTTAAAGCATCATAGTAAATAATTAATATTAAATACTTTTTGTCTGTTGTGAAATAATCTTTGTACACTGTGAATATGTATAAGGCTGATTGGTTTAATAAAAAGCTGAATGACCAATAGCTAGGCAGGATTTTCAGGGCAAAGAGGATGCTGGGAAGAAGGGAGACACAAGGAGACATGGAGCTGGCTGGGGGTGGAGCAGAAAAAAAATCCACCTACCTTTGTCCACACTGAAAGAAAAAGATGAATGTTAAGTCTGATGTAGTGAATGGCAACTGGTATTTCATTTAAGGAAAAGAGTTTTAGTTGTTTACTTACCAATTAGGGAAGTAAACATATTGATTACTAAGGGAAAATTCAAAACACTTAAGGAGCAACTTCTTCCTTGAAGTACTTCATAGAGTGGAGAAATTAGCATAAACAATGACACACACAAGTTCTGCTCATTGGCCCAAACTCTGGGCCATCACATATAAAAAGTAAAACAGCAAAGAAAAAAAATAGATTTTTGGGAAACTCACCTGTGAACAGAACCTCTCTCTTCACATCCAACACCATGACCAACTCCTGCTGCTCCCCTTGCTGTCAGCCCACCTGCTGCAGGACCACCTGCTGCAGGACCACCTGCTGGAGACCCAGCTGTGTGAGCAGCTGCTGCCAGCCCAGCTGCTGTGGCTCCAGCTGCTGCCAGCCTTGCTGCCAAACCACCTGCTGTAGGACCTGCTTCCAGCCAAGCTGTGTGAGCAGCTGCTGCCGCACACCCTGCTGCCAGCCCTGCTGCTGTGTGTCCAGCTGCTGCCAGCCTTGCTGCCAGCCCAGCTGCTGTAAGCCCTGCTGCTGCAAGCCTTGCTGTCAACCCTGCTGCTGCAAGCCCTGCTGTCAGCCCTGCTGCTGCAAGCCCTGCTGCTGCAAGCCCTGCTGTCAACCCTGCTGCTGCAAGCCCTGCTGTCAGCCCTGCTGCTGCAAGCCCTGCTGTCAGCCCTGCTGCTGCAAGCCCTGCTGTCAGCCCTGCTGCTGCAAGCCCTGCTGCCAGCCCTGCTGCTGCCAGCCCTGCTGCTGCAAGCCCTGCTGCCAGCCCTGCTGCTGCAAGCCCTGCTGCTGCAAGCCCTGCTGCCAGCCCTGCTGCTGCAAGCCCTGCTGCTGCAAGCCCTGCTGCCAGCCCTGCTGCTGTCAGCCCTGCTGCTGCAAGCCCTGCTGTCAGCCCTGCTGCTGCAAGCCCTGCTGCCAGCCCTGCTGCTGCAAGCCCTGCTGCCAGCCCTGCTGCTGCAAGCCCTGCTGCCAGCCCTGCTGTTGCAAGCCCTGCTGCCAGCCCTGCTGCTGCAAGCCCTGCTGCTGCAAGCCCTGCTGCCAGCCCTGCTGCTGCAAGCCCTGCTGCCAGCCCTACTGCTGCCAACCCTGCTGCTGCAAGCCCTGCTGCCAGCCCTGCTGCTGCAAGCCCTGCTGCCAGCCCAGGTGCTGTATCTCCAGCTGCTGCCAGCCCTGCTGCTGCAAGCCCTGTTGCTGCAGACCCTGCCTCAAGCCCTGCTGTGAGCCCTTCTGCCTCAACCTGTGCTGCCAGCCAGCTTGCTCTGGACCTGTGACCTGCACCAGGACTTGGTACCAGCCCACATGTGTCTGTGTGCCTGGCTGCCTGTCCCAAGGCTGTGGGTCCAGCTGCTGCGAGCCCTGTGGCTGCTGATCAACTCACCATAGACCCCGTATCTACATAAAATAGCCTTCTACCATCAAATCTGCCTGATAACCACACAATGCCAAACTCAGTGCTCTTTCTCTGAAAATAAGCCTTACACTGTCTAAAAATATCTCATTAGCAGATTTGTGTGTTTTCTCAGTTTTCTTATCTACTATGTTCCTCCTCATCCCTTTGGTTCTTTGTCAAAGGCATCTGCTGTTGACCTTGATTCACAGTTCCAACCTTGGAAAATTTGCTTACCTCATTTTCAACTTACAGAAGGTTTGCAAAATCAAAAGAAGAAAGAAAGGACTCTGATTTTCCCCCGAGTTAGTCATCATTCCATTTCCATGTGTTTATAATTACTGTGACTCACCTTGTAACTCATTCATAAAAACTTTGCGTCGTCTGGCTACTTGGAAGGCCATTATCTATGGTTTACTAATAAAGTCCTCACTTGATTATCTCCTGAATTGTGTTTTGTTTTGTGTATTTTGCTTGGCATGTTCTGTCCCGTCATCTGAGCTGCATCATCATCTCAGACTTGGGCAGAGACAGCACGCAGGATGTGAGCTCTGTCAGGTCACATAGCTGAGGATAGAAAACATCCTTCCAGAGACCTGGTGTGATAACGGGAACAACTTAACGAAACAGAGACACTGGGGCTGAACACTAGAAAGCTGATCACCTCATGATGCTCTCTGCCATTTACCAATCACCCTGGGAACCAGTAGCCACAGAGCAAAAGAGCTGATCTTTGGAGCCTAGAAAGTCATGTAAATCTTGTATTGCCTTGCCTTAAAAAAGGCCACTGGTGATGACTTCTAAATATTTTTTTTCAACCACAGTGTACTTGCTACTGTTTTGGGATTTTGAAAGCTTTTTTTTTTTTTTTTTTTTGACAGTTGGTGTGTTGGGGGAGGGGTTTGTCAGAGGACAAGCTGTGAGAGTCATTTCTGTCCTTCACCATGTGGGTCCTGGGGATCAAACTCAGGCTGGGAGGCAGCTACCTTGCTTCGCGAGTCATCTCAGGATTTTGATGTGAGAGGACCATCTAGAAACTATTGGTCTTGTAGAAATGGTACAGTTTTTGCCCTTGTTACCTGTACAAATAGCCACATTGGGCGGGGGGCAGTTGATTTGTGATAACACTGGTAAGAAAAAAGTAAAACTTTTAATATTCTGTGTGGAAAGGTGCAGTAATCTATGGATTCCCACAGAAGTTCTGTAAGTCAAGATAGAAAGTACTTGGAGTAGATATCTAGCACACATAATCTACCAAAAGCCCAGGTGTACTAAAGACTTAAAATTGACTTTAAAACCTTCAAACTCTTGTAACAAATATAGATAAACATCTCTTAGATCTTGAGAAAGGGCGAGCCTTTATCACCAGAAAAAAACAGCCAAATTTGACTGCTCACACATAGAGCTTGCAATCATCAGAGACAGCAACAGAAAATGAAACAACAAAAAACAAAAAACAAGTCACAAACTTGGTGGTGTTTGAGAAACACAGAAATAAACATGCATGACAAAATGTATAAAGAAATAGTTAATCTGGATAGAACTCAGGAAAGTGCAAATGAAGACTAAAATGAGGCCTCTTCTTGTATCAATATTAATGGATGAAAATAATCCTGTTTCACATTTGGAAAAACAGGATTTTAAAACTATGGAGTCAATAATTGATGAAAGTAGAGAACATCTCTATGCCCTCTCAAGCCTATGCTATGCATTGCTGCAATACAATCTTGGAAGGGATGCTGGTGATTCTTTCGGAATTGAAGGAAGCCAAGGAAGCCTTGAGTGAGTGCATAAAGAGTGAGTAAAGTCCTGGGTGGATGTGCATTGTTGACATGGACACAGAGATGTCAAGGACCCAATGCCTCAGACCCACAGGAAACTGGCAAAGCCCTCCCTGCCACCCCACCCAGGGTTCAGACTCCCTCTGTGCTGTGCATAATAAACACGATGAGGCTCTGAGTTGTGTATTTGGTGCCCTCCATCAGAGCAAGCACAGGCCACCGGATCTCATCTTCACTGTATCTGTGTCTGTTCTTTCTTTACTTCCTCGTACCCCAGCCAGGTCAAGTCCCAAGCCACCTAGAATGTGGCACAGAATGTTCTGGGTCCTTGTTGTTTGGCCCTATCAAGCATCTTGGGCAACTCTTAACACGTAACATTCAATACATGTAGTCAGCCTTCTATCAGTGGCTTCACAATCAATAGATCCAATTCACCCCAGACCAAAATATTCAAAAAACAAATGCAACTAAACTGAATATATTATTCTATGAACAACACAGTGAGACCATTACATAAATCACATTTACATTCTACAAGATACTGGGGCTGTTGAGGTCAACTCAGTAGAAGAGAACTTGTCTAGTATGTGTGAGATCCTTGTTTGGTGCAAACAATGCAAAAACCAGACAAATCCTTTTGACCCAATTATTGTAAGTAACCAAACAATAACTTACATAACATTTTTGAAAGAATGTGCGTATATTAAATGTAAATATGCTGGTAGTCTGTACAAAGAATTTGATATCACAAAGATTTTTATGTCATCAAGACATCCTTAAACCAATTCCCTATGACTATGAAGGGACTACCATATTTTGAAATGAATGAATAAATGACATTTTTATGAGGTATACAAGAAATATCAAACTTCTACTATCCAAAGTGCACTATGTTTGAACCAAAGATCATGAAATGAACCTAGGTTTAAAATGGAGACTAGCACTTTGCTTCTTCCTATTTTCATGTGGTCTTCACCCACAGAAATCCACAAAGATGCCCCCACAACAGACTGCTGGCAATGGTCGAGAGACAGCCCGAACTGACCTACTCTGGTGATAGGATGGCCAAACACCCTAATTGTCGTGCTAGAAACCCCATCCAATGACTGAGGGAACTGGATGCAGAGATCCACAGCCAAGCCCTTGGTGGAGCTCCGGGAGTCCAATTGGCGAGAAGGAGGAGGGATTATATGAGCGAAAATTGTTGAGACCAAGGTTGGATAAAGCACAGGGACAAATAGCCAAACAAATGGAAACACATGAACTATGAACCAATGGCTGAGGGGCCCCCAACTGGATCAGGCCCTCTGAATAGGTGAGACAGTTGATTAGCTTGATCTGTTTGGGAGGCATCCAGGCAGTGGGACCGGGTCCTGTGCTCAGTGCATGAGTTGGCTATTTGAAACCTGGGGCTTATGCAGGGACACTTGACTCAGCCTGGGAGGAGGGGACTGGACTGCCTGGACTGAGTCTACCAGGTTGATCTCAATCCTCAGGGGAGTCTTTGCCCTGGAGGAGATGGGAATGGGGGGTGGGCTGGGGGGGAAGGCAAGGAGGGGGGAAGTGGGGCAGGAGGGGGGAGAACAAGGGAATCCGTGGCTGATATATAGAATTAAATTATATTGTAAAATAAAATAAAATAAATTGAGACCAGCATAACGAGAACACCAGCTGACATGCCAACATGGCTTGGAGAAATCTCACAAGGCCCCACCTCCTAAACGAAGAACTATGAACAATTAACAGTTGCTGGGAGGAGATTCATTCTTCACTAGGGACAAACCCCCTAATAGGTTATCCAATCCCAGTGACCAGCCCTAAACACATATACATACAAGCAACACTCAATGGATTAAGCAGGTCACATTTACATATTTGCATATATATATATACATATATATATAATGTATGATATATCTATATATCAAAGAGGCTATAATTTTGAGAGTGAGGAGGCATGGGAGGGATTGGAGGGAGGGAACACGGGAGAGGCCAGAGGGAAGAAAGGAAAGGCGGTGAGTGATATAATTACATTTTTATTGAAAATGTAAGAAATAATAAATCGATATTAGATGCAAATTTTTAAAAAATAAAGATGGAGGCACTGTTAACAAAGGCCAGCTTTGCCCAAGCTCAAGACACAGTCTCTTGAATTCTCCTCTCCCATTATTGTTGCTACCCTAATTTCTTATCCTCTAAAATAGAGAAAGTTAAACTCTAGAGGCGTGAATGTTACTACCAGTGACACAATCGACAACAATTATAAATCTATAAAAATCTAAAAGTCCTTATCAGTTCGTTGGAGACCTTCAGGACAGTAAAGGATTTTGAGGAAATATCTGAGAAAGAAAGAATACTAAAGGAGTTTGGTTGGTTTTGCGGCCTCTTTCCTCTCCGGGTGTGATGGTTTGAAAGAAAATGGCCCCCAAAGGGAGAGGCACTATTAGGAGGTGTGGCCTTGTTGGAGCACGTGTGTCACTGTGGAGGCGGATTTGAGGCCTCATACATGCTCAAGCCGTGCCCAGTGTTTCAGCCCTTTTCCTGTTGCCTTTGGATCGAGATGTAAGGACTCAGCTCCAGCACCATGCATGCTGCATGTGGCCTTGCTTCCTGCCTGGACGATAATGGCCTGAATCTCTGAACTGTAAACTGGTCTCCCTCACTTAAATGTTTTCCTTTATAAGAGTCGCCTTGGTCATGGTATCTCTTCACAACAATAGAAAAGCTAACTAAGATACTGAATTAGTACAGTAAGAGAGAGATTTGCATGAGATCGCTTGATTGGCAGCAATGTTGAAACAGAAGATCAGTGGGGAAAGGCTGCTTTGCTTCAAGGTTTCGAAGCAACTGTGTTTGCAAATGACCACCATCCTTTACTACATACAAACCAATTGCAGGTTTATCATGTTTATCATTGCACTTAAATACAATCCCCCATTAATAAACACCGATTTGTGTTTATCATGGAACTATTGCAACAGCCGAGTCATGGAATTAGCCTCAGTGTCCATCAAGAAACAAATAGAAGAAGAAAGTTTCTGCATGCATGTGCATGTGTGTACCTACGTGCCTGCATTGTGCATGCCTGCATACCTGCATGTGTGCATACCTGCTTGTGTGCATATTATTTAGCCAGAAGGAAGAATAATGCATTTTGTTTGTGAAATAAGCCATACTCAAAAAGATGGATACTGTATCTTT